CGAGGCGTCCGCGGACCGATGATCACAACGGCCGCCTTGCGCCAGCCGAGGCCTCCGCGGGCCCATGATGACACCCAGCGGCCGCCTCCCGGGATGCACGCCCGGCCCCTGTGGCAAGGCATGGCGGATTAAGTTCGACCGGAGCAGCCGTTCACGAAAACTTGCTGGAAAATCTACGCAGCGTCATGCTGCCAGCGCCGCTTGGACGTGGCCCCCAGTTCCTGCCTGTAGGAGTCGCAGCAGGACCTACAGGCCTCGTAAATGCAATGGCGCCCGGGTTGATTTTTACCGTTCCACTTGCACATCGGCAGCGATGGCACGGTTGCTCCTTGCGGTGGCCTGTCGCCTGCCGCGTAGCGTGCAGCACGAGCTGCTTTCTTCTCTAGCCAGGCTGGCGCTTGTCGACTGCTCTGCTTCCACTCAACCCAAGCAGGAGGCGCGGTTGGTGGTGGCTGCGGCTGCACTGGCACGCTGCAGACATGCGGCTGTGGCATGCTGAACTGGGCGTGCTGCGCCGTGGCCGCGTTGTGCGCCGCACATTGTGCGGCTTGTGCAGCCACGGTTGCAGCGTCCACCGCTTGCATCACGTCGTTACGGAGTGCTGCAACCGTCGCGTTTAGCTGTTTGATCTGCTCCTCGTAGGCTGCCTGGCAGGCGCTGCCTGGCATGCTTCCTGGCAGGCTTGTATGTGGGCTGCCGCCGCCGCCGAGCGTTGGCCGTGGGGATCCTGTGTCTGGCGAGCCAATGCCAACACCCTCCTCCTATGGAATATCGTCGGCGTTCTCCTCCGCGGGTTGACCTGCGGGCTGCTGCCACATGTCGGCATCTTCTGGATAGCCCGCGGACTGCCACGACATGTTGTCATATTGATGATGGTCGTTGGGCTGCTGTCGATAATAATACCACGGCTTGCCATCATCATTAATCTTATTATTGACCCAGGTGTCCGCCTCCTCCACTTCGTCGTGCATGTAGTCCGTGGCGGGATGATGTTGTTGATACGGCTCCGCGGAGCACTGACTACCACGAGCATCGTCCGGGGCGTCACCCGTCGGTGGTTTTTCGTCCTCGGGCTGATAGAACATAAGTTTAGACCCATTGCACATGTCGATCACTTCTTGTGCGGACATCTTCTCTGGTTGTTTGTGAGGTGGCCCCTCTTTCCGAATTGCCGCCCAAAGCTCGTACCTGCACGGCAGATCGAAGTAATTGGCCAGCTCACACCAGTTGCTGATATTGTGCAGGTGGGTCGCCATGGCCGTCATGGCCTCCTCCGGGAGAACTTTCATCCACCATGGCGGTTCAGTTTCTTCGTGCTTGGTGAACTGGAAGAGCGCGCCAGGCGAGCCATTATCGTAGGATGCGATCGTTTTGTATGCGTTCTGGCCCGTCTGGTCCAAGAGCACGGAATACAGTGAATACAGGCGGTCTGGATCGTTGTCAAGCATGTGCGTGGTCCCGGCCCGCTTTGCAGGAATCCCTTTGCCATTCCAGCCGCTCTTCTTCGACGCGATGGAAATCTGGTGAGCTTCCATGCCGAGGTGCATGATGCCACACTGCCTGAGGAACCTCACGACGTAGCACTCGATCTCATTGCCTCGGTGCCAGGAAGTCCATTTCCCTGTAATTGTTCGAGAAATCACGTGAACAGCGTCGGTTCCATATTTAGCCATGAACAGCACGAGGAACGAGTTGGCGCCGTCTGACATTGATTGCCAACAGCCATCACCTCGAGGTTGCGAATGCTGCAAGCCTTTGCGCCAGCACTAGGTGTAATTAACATCGTTAAGTACACCTTTTGTGGCACGAGGCATGCATTCCAACCCGACACCGTCTGCTGACACACCCTTCTTGCTCAACACTTGGCCCGCATCGATGCCGAGCTTCGGCACCTCCGCATGCTGTGGACCGCCGTGGCCCCAGTCCATGGGGCGCGCCATGGGTGCGCCGAAGCAGCGCTGCTTAAGCCCAACTACGGCACTTGAATACGGAGGAGGAGGAGGGGGAAGTGTGCGCCGTCTTGGACCATTGTGGGCCATCCTGGTGAGAACGTCATGGGCCGTCTTGGATCCTCCTGGGCTGTCTCGGCGCATCTCGGGCCGTCTTGGGAATCATTCTCGGGGCTGTTGGCGCCTGGCAGGGGCCTATGTGGGTGAATAACGGGCGCGGGATGGACAGCGGGGTATGGGGTGAGTGGAACCACTGCCACTTTGGCTCATAACTTATTAACGGCTTGATATCTCTCTCTATCTCTCGAGATCCGACACGGGGCCATCTGGCCACTACTACCAATTCGACGGAGGGCAATGACGAGCCACACGCGCATCCTCTTCGACCTGCCGACCCAGCGCGACGCAGTCGAGACCGCGCTCAGGGACGAGACGCAGCAGTCAACCATCACAACCGCGAAGGGCAGGTTCTGGGCCTACTTCATGGAGCTGAACACATGGCTGCCAGTGACGACTACAGCGCGGGTCGACCCCCGCACGCTGGACATCATGACCCAGGGTGCGACGATCAAGAATACGATCACGAAGGAGATGTCGGAATACTTCGGCGCCGAGTCTGAGTTGAAGATCTACAAGTGTCACGGGCAATCCTTTGATGGAGACCCCACTGGCGACGACCAACTCGTGAACCTCATCCAGTGGATCTACGTCCGCAAGACCGACGGCGGCGACGGCGGCGACGGCGACGCCAGCTCCGACACTCAGCCTGATCACCGGGCCGTCAACATACCCGAGATCGAGACGTGAGCGAGGTACAACGACGAGTGGAAGAAGGTGATGTTGCCGAACCTCGAGGGGCCCACGCAGGGCCGCCTATTCGTCAACGCGGGCCGCTTGAAACGCAGGGCGCTCGAGGAGTTCGGGTTCGGACATTGGCGAGCTCATCCTCAGGGCCGCCGAGCCATGCAAGCATGATTCGACTGGGCTCCCGAGGAGCCGACGGGGGCGAGAGGCCGTTTCGAGGACGTCCCCGAGCTTCTCGACGATCCGGAATTGTGCCAGGAAGCCATTGATGGGACTTCAACGCCGCGAACTAACGTAATTGTTGCACCCTTATAGTCCTGAGTCCCTCCAGAACGCAATTTCTGGTACGTTGACTACGGGAACCCGTGAAATTCTTGCAAATATCAGAAACGAATGTGCGTGGCATTGAGGCGAGACCCACATGTTGAAAAGGAACCATCTTCAATCCGAAAACGTATCGCAAATCTCTAAAACGAATGTGCGCTGCGCTGAGGCGAGAGCCACGTTTTGAAAACGGGTCGCCCTCAATCTGCGAAGCTCCTGCAAATGGTTCAAACGAATGCGCGCGGCCCTAAGGCGAGAGCCTCATTTTGAAGACGGGTCTCGCTCAATCCGCAAAGCCCTTGTAAATGTTTGTTTCTCGATTGTGCGCGGCGCTAATGCGAGAGACACATTTTGAAAACGGGCCGCCCTCAATCCGTGAAACTCTTGCATTCTTAATGGTCGAGTGCTGCGCGCGGCGCTTAGGCGAGAGCCACGGTTTGGAAACGGGTCGCCTTCAATCCGTGAATCCTTGCACATGCTTACGTTCATGATCACTAATGATGAGGAAGTCTCAGGCAAAACGACCAGCCCGCCCAAACAGCTGGCCTCTGGGCTCGACAGGGAGACGTTATGCACATGGAGAAGGAATGGAGAGGGAAGTGTAGGAGGAGGAGGAAGAGGATGAGGAACAGGAGGAGGAGGAGAACGAGGAACAGGCGGAGGAGAAGAAAGATGAGGAGGAGGAGGAGGAGGATGAAGAGCAGGAGGAGGCTGGAGCAGGAGGAGAGTGGAGGGGGAGGAGGAGGAGAGAGGAGGATATGGAGGAGGAGGAGGAGGAGGAGGAGGAGGAGGAGGAGGAGGAGGAGAGGAGGGGGAGCAGCAGGAGGAATACGACATCGAACAAGAATACGACGACGCATGAGAGGATGAGGAGAAGGAGGGGGAGGAGGGGGAGGAGGAGCAGGAGGAGGAGGAGGAGGATGAGGAGGAGGAGGAGGAGCAGGAGGAATGCCAGGATGATGATGACTGGTGAGGAGGAGAAGGAGGAGGAGGAGGAGGAGGAGGACGAGGAGGAGGACGAGGAGGAGGACGAGGAGGAGGACGAGGAGGAGGAGGCGAAATTGGAGGAAGTGAGGGAGGAGGAGGACGAAGACGAGGAGGACGAGGAGGATGAGGAGGACGAGGAAGAGGAGGAGGAGGAGGAGGAGGAGGAGGAGGAGGAGGAGGAGATGGGGACGAGGACGAGGAGGAGGAGGAGGAGGAGGAGGAGGAGGAGGAGAAGAAGGAGCTCGCCCTCCAATTATGGCCAACGTCAAAACGGAGGAGGAGGAGGAGACAGAGGGGGAGGGCGATGGGGGAGGGAGACGGTCTGGCAGCGTAGGTGTGACAAACTCCAATGCCACCAGCACCGAAAAGGAGGAGGAGGAGAAGGAGGAGGAGGACGAGGAGGAGGGAGCGAACGAGGTGGAGGCGGAGGAGGAGGAGCAGGATAAGGAGAATGATGAGGAGGGGGAGGAGGAGGAGGAGATGGAGAAGGAGGAGGAGGAAGAGGAGGAGGAGGAGGAGGAATAGATGAAGGAGGAGGAGGAGGAGGTGCTCGTGCTTCATGTATGGCCAACGTCAAATAACGAGTAGGAGGAAAAGGAGGAGGAGGAGGAGGAGGAGGGGGAGGAGAGGAGGAGGAGGAGGAGGAGGAAATGATGAGGGAGGAGAAGGAGGAGGAGGAGGAGGAGGAGAGAGTAGAAGGAGGAGGAGGAGGAGGAGGAGGAGGAGGAGGAAGGAGGAGAAGGAGGAGTAGAAGAAGCAACAGAGGACACGAGGAGGAGGAAAGGTGGATGAGGAGGAGAGAGAGGAGGAGGAGGAGGAGGAGGAGGAGGAGGAGGAGGAGGAGGAGGAGGAGGAGGAGGAGGGGGAGGAGTCGGAGGAGGAGGCGGAGGAGGATGCGCAAGGGCTGATGGGGCGGGAAGGAGCTCCTGCACCCACAGGCCCAGGCCGCGGAGTGCGGCCGTGGCGCGTCTCGCCTCGGCCGTCGGCCTGGAGGGCCCCAAGATGAACGTGGTCGTCTTCGGGGCCACAGGCTACATCGGCAGGGCGGTGGTCCAGGACCCCGCCGCTGCCGAGCCCAGACCCCCTCGGGTCCTGAACAAAAGCCCAACGGGAGGTTTTTGGCATTTTTCGGTGCAGGGGTCCGCGCCGGGGCTCGGGGCCGTCGTAAAACGACTCAGGATGAAAACCGATCCTGGTGAAGGTGTCGAGACCTGTTGTCGTTGGCGGCCAAAAGGGGGGTGATGGCAAGGGGGGTGGATATCATGACGGGAACCATGATATCTCCCCAGATCTCATGGCGCCTCGTCTTATCTCATTACGTTCCTGGCCCCCCTTGGGCCGCTCGCGTGCCGCGGGCCATGATTTGCGCCCCCCCCTCTTGGATGCCCCCCTCTTGGACGCCCCCGATCTGGGGGTCACGCCATGAACGAATCATGACGTCGGGGGTCTGGGAGAGGGGGGGGGTCCTCCGTGCCCTGTGCGCCGGCGGAGAAGCAGCTGGAGGGAGGGGGGGGAGGAGAGGAACCTCCGCCGCCTCCTTCTCCTTCTCCTTCTCCTCGTCCTCCTCCTCCTCCTCCTCCTCTTTTTCGAGGTTGGCCATTCATGCAGCGCAAGCTTAATGCAGGAAAGAAAGGAGTACGCCGACTCAGCGAGCGGAAAGCGAACTTGCCTGGCGGGCGCAGAGTCGTAGGCAGTGCAACAATACTAGAAACTTGCAGGGCCTTAGAGTGTGCGCCCGCCAGGCGGTATAATCAAGCAGTGGCGAAACGTCCTGGCTCGCCGATCGGCCTACCAAACAATGTTCGAATAACCTTTTTTGTGGTTTCCACGAAATGTTCTCAGACATATATGGCTGATGCTGTCTTGTTTTAACACATCAGGATCACGTTCTAAGGACATCGTTTTTTTTTCTTAGAACATTTTGGGTTCGAAGCACACTTCGTGGTAGGACTGTATAGGACTGCCGGGACGGTCGGTCCCTGCTTAATAGAAGGTATTGAAAGCTTGGTGCCGACGGGACACAATTGCCGTGAGCATAAATTCTATGTCATACTGGTTGCAGAAAAGAGTGCTGCAAACTGGGCAGATGTTCTGACGGAAAATGGCTGAGAGTAGAGAGGTAAATACTGGCAATTTACATTGTGGAGCAGCCGTCGAGAAGAGAGTGCGCGCGCGGGTGATAGCCTTAGACGGTAATGTTTTCTGGCCTGCAAAACGAGAGCGCTGCAAGGTTGGGCGCACTGTAGCCGCTGTGTAAGCAGCTGAGAACAGAGGCTGGTATATGTCCTCGGTCAGCTCCCCACCACAAGTCCCAACCACCATCTGCATTATCCCCCGCCCTAGTAGACTGCGACTGTTCAGAGCATCGCACACCTCAAGCTCTCCCCATTAGTATCACGCTGCTGGGCCGGCTCTGCCTGGCCGAGGGCCTGGATCGTAGGAGGCGGTGGCTGTGTTAGGACGTCATCTTGGATTTGAATGAAGCGACGAGGGAGGTAGAGGACGGGATGAGGTGCACTAGCACGGGCACGCTGGATGTGCTGGCATTGCTTGGCACTGAAAGCACTTGTAGGCTGGCCATGCGGTACTGGCGGGCCTTGGCAGTGCAAGTTAAACGTATCATCACAGGCTTGGATGTGTTGGCCAGGCTGAAATGTACGAAGATGCCAGTGGCTGGATGCCTAGAGCCTAGAGGTGTACGTGCTAGCTCTGATGATAGAGTGGCAGACCATGGGCTGTTACCCGTTTCGGTTAAGTCGGCGGCCATTTTTTGTGTTCAGGGGGCTTGGAAAATAGAGTGCACGCGATTGAAGTAAAGTTAAAGACAATGAGCGAATCGTATGAGGTTGCGTGGAGGAGGTTGGTAAGTAGTGACAGCTGAGAGTGCAATCTAGTAATTCTCCCCTTCCCAAAATGTGAAACCACCGGGGACCTCCCCCTCTGGGAAGCGAAGCTTCGCAGGCACTCTTCCTCGTCTCTCTGGATGCACCTCGGGCAGCTCTCGTTTTCTTCTTGGCGCTATGTATCCGTCAGCGCCACCAGCACACGCACACACCAGCACGATGAGAGAGAGGGGCAGGAAGTGTATTGTATTGGGCTCAGTTGAGTAGTAGTTGGAAGTGAGGGAGAAAGGCGGGGCCTCTCGGGCCCGGGACTCCTGCGGTCCCGCAAGGAGGGCCTGCAGCCAAATGGCTATGGATGGAGCGAATCAGAATCAGCAAACGAGTGACATCGCCAAGGGTCGATTCAAACCGACCCTAAAATATCTTCGCTCCAATCCACGGCTGAACGGACGGCACACTACTTACTGACTTGGCTGGACATCTAGATCCCCCCACACATCTGGGCGAAAATCGAGCGTCTGGACAGTCTCTCAAGCATTGGTTCCTAAGCCTTTGCGTTTCTCAGCAGACTCAAACATTTGATCATACACTAGGCGCCACCGGCACCCATTACTGAAAAAACAAATCCAGCTGACATTTCCCATGGCCCTTGGTGAGACTCTTCGCTAGCATTGCGTCGCTATGTATCCACCGGACGGGACACTCACAGGCTTCAATCCCGTTCTTCAGTGCAAGAAGTTCCAGACCCGTTCTGAATTCTTTGCCTCCCGTTACTTGTTCTGGGCACGGAAGACGATCATATAGGTTCTTTGAGTCGGTCACCAGATATCCAGAAATTCTCCGAATTTGGGCCCAGGGATCTCGAAGGTCGGGTTTCCATCCAGACAGCTCTGACAACAAAACATGCACATAGGCAATTTCATCCTCTGTATTGACTGTCGCTGAAACCTTTGCTGCGGGGGGTGATCTGCACGTCCGTTCTACGTCTACCTCACCCGAACGCCAACTCATCAACGAAACTCCTGTCTCCTTGCCCTCGAGAAACGACACTGGGACAACTCCTCTGATCCTCCCCTCCGTCGATTTCCCGTCTATCCTGTTCGCGAAGGCTGCATCACCCCAGCCGACGACCGCCAGCTCCTCAGCAGGGTCGAAGGCGAAGATTTCGAGCGTTCTCTCTCGGGCCTCTTTGGCCCTCTTGATGAGCTTGTTAACCTTCAGTAGGTCCTCCACAGTACACGACTCCGTCTTGCTCTGAAATAGACTCAGCTCGGCCAATATGTCGGGCCCCGTCTGGGTCCCTTTCCACTGAAGGCTTCCGGTGGCCGCCCGGAACTGACTCTTCTCGGTGGTCGTGACGGGAGACGAAACCTGACGTCGACGTTTTGGAAGAACCTCAATCTCTTCAATCTGTTCCAGGTACGTCGTTTGGCTCAAACTCAAACTGAAGTCTAGACGCAGGAGGACGTAAACACCACACTGTGTGAAAGATCCGTATTCTCATTCTGTCCATCGAAACACGTCCATGACCTGTTGTTTACCTAACAGCGAAGACTGATAGGCTTCTAGTAGGGTCAAAAGAGAGCATCATGACTCCCCAGGGGGGTCTGGGCGGGATCCGGGCGGGTGCCGCGGAAAACCGGGGACTCCTTTTTTAGCCAACAGTAACGCACTTCGTGGTCTTCGAGTTCCCAGAACTCCATTCCTGGGCATGATTTTGAATGCCCGGAGCCAACTGTAGGCCACTTCGTGTTCTTCGATTTCCCAGAACTCCATTCCTGGGTATGATTTTGAATGCCCCGAGCCAACTGTAGGCCACCTCGTGGTCTTCGAGTTCCCAGAACTCCATTCCTGGGCATGATTTTGAATGCCCGGAGCCAACTGTGGGCCACTTCGTGGTCTTCGAGTTCCCAGAACTCCACTCCTGGGCCACATTTTGAATGCTGAGGCAGGCTGATACGGAGGCTGAGGCAGGCTGAGGCTGAGGCAGGCTGAGGCTGAGGCCGAGGCTGAAGGCAGACTGAGGCTGAGGCTGAAGCAGGCTGAGGCTGTGGCTGAGGCAGGCTGAGGCTGAGGCTGAGGCAGGCTGATGCTGAGGCAGGCTGAGGCTGAGGCTGAGGCTGATGCAGGCTGAGGCTGAGGCAGGCTGAGGCTGAGGCCGAGGCTGAAGGGACTGAGGCTGAGGCTGAAGAGGCTGAGGCTGAGGCTGAAGGCTGAGGCTGAGGCTGAGGCTGAGGCTGCAGGCTGAGGCTGAGGCTGAGGCTGAGGCTGAGGCTGAGGCTGCTGAGGCTGAGGCTGAGGCTGGGCAGGCTGAGGCTGAGGCCGAGGCTGAAGGCAGACTGAGGCTGAGGCTGCTGAGGCAGGCTGAGGCTGAGGCTGAGGCAGGCTGAGGCTGAGGCTGAGGCAGGCTGATGCTGAGGCAGGCTGAGGCTGAGGCTGAGGCTGATGCAGGCTGAGGCTGAGGCAGGCTGAGGCTGAGGCAGGCTGAGGCTGAGGCTGAGGCAGGCTGAGGCTGAGGCTGAGGCTGCTGAGGCAGGCTGCAGGCTGAGGCTGAGGCAGGCTGAGGCTGAGGCAGGCTGAGGCTGAGGCCGAGGCTGAAGGCAGACTGAGGCTGAGGCTGAAGCAGGCTGAGGCTGAGGCTGAGGCAGGCTGAGGCTGAGGCTGAGGCAGGCTGATGCTGAGGCAGGCTGAGGCTGAGGCTGAGGCTGATGCAGGCTGAGGCTGAGGCAGGCTGAGGCTGAGGCCGAGGCTGAGGCTGAGGCTGAGGCTGCAGGCTGAGGCTGAGGCTGAGGCAGGCTGAGGCTGCAGGCTGAGGCTGCAGGCTGAGGCTGAGGCTGAGGCTGAGGCTGAGGCAGGCTGAGGCTGAGGCTGAGGCTGAGGCTGAGGCAGGCTGAGGCTGAGGCAGGCTGAGGCTGAGGCCGAGGCCGACGGCAGACTGAGGCTGAGGCTGAAGCAGGCTGAGGCTGAGGCTGAGGCAGGCTGAGGCTGAGGCTGAGGCAGGCTGATGCTTAGGCAGGCTGAGGCTGAGGCTGAGGCTGATGCAGGGTGAGGCTGTGGCAGCCTGAGGCTGAGGCCGAGGCTGAAGGCAGACTGATGCTGAGGCTGAAGCAGGCTGAGGCTGAGGCTGAGGCTGAGGCTGAGGCAGGCTGAGGCTGAGGCTGAGGCAGGCCGAGGCTGAGGCTGTGACTGTGACTGCGACTGCCGTTGCCACTG